GGGGCGCGGCTGGGCCGATTTTTTGGCATCGGCGGTCGAAAAGTCGCCTGAGGGGCCTTCTTAGGGACGCGACTGGAGATGCTCTAAACAGTCCGACCCTGTGGCTATGTGTGTCATTAGGAATCGCGGGCGACAATTATCGGGCCGGCCCATTAGCGCTTGTCTCTCGTTTCCTCTGTGGCAAGTCGCTGTAGGTTCGCTTTGTGCTAGTTTTCTTCGGTTTTCTTTTTCTGTTTCTTTTTTATTCTTTCCTTGGTTTAAAAAAGAAAATCTCAACGGTATTCCTTAGGTTCTCTTTTTCTCTTCGTTCTACTTTGGTTTTCTTTGTTTTTTCATCACTTTTCTTCCTTTCTTCTTTATACTTCGGTTTGCTTTGTTACTCTTTGATTTCTTCAGTTTCTTTTGCTTTTCTTTTGCTTCTTAGTCAGTTTTTATCGGGGTTTTCAATTTTTTCCTGTCTTTCATTGTTGTTTGTCTTTAATGCATGTCTACATTTTTCGTAAGCATTGCACTTTTTTCATATATAACTGGAACATTTTTATTGTACTCATTAAACATCTATCGAATACATGATTAACATTTTTGCAAAATATATATTTTTAGATTAACTTTTTATACATGTTTGTATATTTTTCATATACATCTAAATTTTTTATATATCTTTTAACATTTTTAAATACACAATTTCGCATTTTTTAAATACTTGTTTGAGCATTTTTTTTCTAATAGGTGTTAAGCATTTTTTGTCGAAACATTTTTGAATGATAATTGTTTTTGAATTATATAGAGATTTTTCCAAAATTTCACAAAAAAAATTCCAAAATCTTGTAATGATTTTTAATGTAACCTACATTTTTTTGAATGTATGGGTTCCTTTTACGAATTACATGAACATATTTTTTATAATGTATAATTATTTTTTAAATATGGCATACATTTTCTTCCAAACCTGTGATATTTTTTTAATATGGCATACATTTTCTTCCAAACCTGTGATATTTTTTAAATGTCACCAACATTTTTTCGTACACATGATTAATATTTTTCGTATACATTAGAAACATCTTTCTATACAAGTTTAACATTTTTTAAATATAAAAATTGAAAGTATTTTATGATAGTCATAAATCACTTTCGTACTCACATTTAACGCGATACTGTTGGAAACAACAAAGCGTTAACAATTCATCAAGCAGTTTCTATCAAAAATAGCACAAACATTATACCACACTAATGAGTCCAATTTATGTGAAAAATTCATTGAACCGGTTTCAAAGATAGACGACCAAAGACAAACGGCACCTTGGGACTTGAAGACCGGTTCAGGGGCTACTAATGGTGTCCTGGATTGGGGGTCCCTCACCAAGTCGCCTCCCAGCCTGGTGGGCCAGGACGAGCCGAGGACCCCATGTCGGTTCAGGAGTGGGCTATGCTAGACGGCCCATGATGTGTGAGTGGAAGGCTTCCGAAAACTTGTCGTGAACTTCAAGAAGCCAGATTCGTCGAAGACACTATTTCCTAATACGTAGCTGACTTGTTCGCTGTAACCCTAGACCCCCCCTCCCCCGCAATACCTATATAAACCGAGGGATATGACTCGTAGAACAACATAACAATCTCATGATAGATTATCTGTACTTTGCACTCCAACCCAAAGCAATAAAAACAAACAAAACGTAGGATATTGTCTCTTCGAAGAGCCTGAACCTGGGTAAAACCTCATGTCCTTGTTACCATCACATCTAGACACTTATTTCAGTACCCCTTACCCGAGATCTATCAGATTTAGCTCTGTCACCATGCCGTCGAGATCCGCGGGCAGGACGTTGCAACACCCCCGATGGTGACCGCCGCCACTGCCCCCTGTGCATCCTCGAGCGCCATCGCTTTCTCGAGCTAGCACCATGCCGCCGAGATCCACGGACCACGTGCAAGCCACCACACACACCCTCGTCGGCGATCTGGTTGGGGTGGAATCGAAAGTGATGGTTGCTATGAGCGGGGAAGAGAATGAGTGGATTGGTCTAGAAATGCATAACAAAGGGGGCCGTCTCACCCCATCCAGTGCGAGAAAAAGGGTCGCGCTCACCGCCCGTCCGCGCGGACGGTTCGCAATGGGTGACGTGGCGAGGAACTTGCGTCAAAATTCGTGCAGGTGGTCAGATAGTGGATGAAGCGTTCGTGACGGGATCCTAAATATCTAACGTGAGACTTTTAGTGATTCTGTTAATGTTTCTTTTTTTTGAACATCAGTACATACACAAGCGCTCATGTACACGCGCATACACTCACCCCTCTGAACGCACACACGCACACCCTACCCCTATGAGCACCTACGAAAGACTGAGCCGACATATCATCTTGAAATTTACGAAGTCACCGTAGGCACCTCGTCGTCGACGGGAACGTCTCCTCTCACTGAATGCGCATCGCCGGAAATCCTGAAATAAATCCATGAATAAATGCGAGCACCAGGATTTGAACCCTGGTGGGCTGGGGATACCACAGTCCCTCTAACCATCTAACCACGGGGTGGTTCGATTCTGTTAATGTTTCGATATACAAACCTTAGTAATAACTTTTTTTCTTTTAAAACTGAGTATTGAAAGGCTTGTGGCTATTGAAGTATTGATAGGTTTGGGTGCTTTTTCTTTAACTATGCCTAATTAATTAGCTCTAGTTGAACTATGCCTGATCATGGTGGTAGTACTTGGTGTGTGCAGGGCCCCGGCTGTCGTCCTCCCTCGGCCGGCACACGGAGACGCGGGGCTCCTGCCAGAGCCAAGCCTTGCACACGTGCTCTTTGACGACCTTAAGGAGCAGGCGGACGCTCTCCTGCTGGTCATGGTCCCCCGGAGTTCCCATGTCTTCCGAGGTGACGAGCACCAGCTGCTCGAGGACAGGAGCCCTGCGCAGGACGAACCTTAGCAGCCGCAGCTCGCGCGTCGTCCCTCGGAAGTTCATCACCTTGAGGAACGTCAGGTGGTCCAGAGCGATCTCGTACTCGAGAACGATATCCGCGCCCTCGCCGGTCACCGCCGTGCCACCGCAATCGTCTGGGAGCTGCAAGTTCGATCCACGGAACCGCTAGCTCGTTAGGATCGCACGCCGTGGCAACTCAGGTTCGAATAGATCATGTATTAGGATGCTTACCCGGATAAAGAGGCGCTCGAGGAGTGGCGCCACGACGAGCTCTAAGAATCCGGAGAAGCGAGTAACATCGTTGTCGCCCATGGAGATGGAGTCTATTAGCAGTTGCAGCTCTTCTAGGTTCGGGGCATCCACGTCGCCCTCAGCGAACAGTCGCTCTTGTTCCATGTGCTGGTCGTATAAAAGACATCGCCAGTTAATCGCCTGATTGGTTTCCCGGGCAAGAACAAGTTTGAATATCGTACCAGCATGCCCACGGAACAAAGCGTCAAAATCTTGGCATGCGCGACCTGATCCAAGAAGCCTGAGTAGGCGAACTCGTGAATTACTTCGTCGTATTCGCCGTAGCCGATGTGGGTCAGGTACGCGTCCTTTAGCTCCGGCCTGGCATCGGTCCTGCCGCCCGGGCCAACGAACTCCACACCGGACGGCTCGTCCTCTCTCCAGATGAGGAGGATGTCGCCGTGGTAGACGATGGACTCCAGCACGGACGCGGCCACCTGCAGGTGGCGCATGGCCAGGCAGCGCACGATCTCCAGGCCCCGCAGCCTCTCGCCGGCGACCCTCACCGACACGAGAAGGTGGTAGCTCTCCAGGCTCAGAAACTCGAGCAGCCGACACCCATAGACCACGCCCCAGACAGCATCGTCGGTGGCGTCGACTTGGTTGAGGGAGAACGATGTGAGACCGGCGAGCCCCACCGTGCCGGGCGGGACGTCGCGGAGGCTGCACCGACCGAGGCTGAGCACCGCGAGGGAGCTCTCGGTCTGGAAGAGGTCTCCAGTAAGCTCCAGAACTGGTCTCGAGGATGCATGTGCTTGTGCGTGGGAACTAGTATTCCGAGTAGATCCGCAAACGCACAAAAGTAATGATCAGATAAAAGGCTGTGTCCGAGAACAATTATGAATGTGGTAGGATATCAACCTGAGACACACGATCCATAGCTAAGATACTGAAAATGTAGAAAAGGGGAGAACCACATCTTGGTGTCGTGCTGGAGTAGTGGTGCACAACTCCATCTACTAGATTTCAACTCTTGTGCTTATACCCGAAAAAAAAAACTATTGTGCTTATATTTGTACGGTAGGAGCTTTTTTTCGAGTGCAACGTTTCGGTGCCCAGGCTCATCTGCACCCGTTCAGTAAAAAAATCAAAATAAATACTAGAAAAATTCAAAAAATTCTAATTTTTTGTGTGGTAGATAATTTGATGCGTGAGGTTCGCTCCAATTTTTAGAGCATTTGGACATCTGAGCAGCTCTCAGCAAAAAAGACAAATCGAGTCAGAACAGTGCGTAAACAGAAAACATTTTTACAGACCCCGGATTTGTCTTTTTTGCCGAGAGCTGCTCAGATGTCCAAATGATTTGAAAATTGGAGCGAAGCTCATGCATCAAAATATCTACCATACAAAAAAGTTGGATTTTTTTGAATTTTTCTAGTATTTGTTTTGATTTGTTTCGTCGGGGTGGGTGCAGCTGAGTCCGGGCTCAGAAATGGATTACCCCTTTCTATATCGTATTTCTCCAAAAAAATAAATAAATGGAGAAGCAGTGTACTCTAAAACTATTGTGCAGTTGTTCTTTCTATGGAATTTATATAAAGTTCAAGAATCTAGTCTGGCTACCATTAAGGTGCGGCACGAGCGGCACATTTCTTGCAAATATAAATATGCAAATTACTTATATTGTAATATTAGACGATTTTTTTTCAGAGTTCACATATATATATTGATAAACATCACAGTATTTTACTTATGTGCAAACAAACACTTGAACAAATATATACCAGTCTTAGTACACACACTATGTGTTCCCCTAATTATTTCAGCGTACAACATGTTGCACTCTATTACATTGCACTATGATGAGAAAAGGCCCTCTTTTCCTCCAGCTTTACAAACACACTTCCGTCGTATATACCTCTCGCATCGTCCTTATGAAGAAATCCATCATTGTCACTCGCAACGTTGTATATTCCGCCCCATTCTATTTGAGGTCCCTCCCTGGATTTATAACAATAGAAACGAAAAACTTAGCAGGAGCCAATAATCTTAACTAACTCTTTTGCCCTTCCGTTAATTAAAATCATGTTTTTTTACAAGAAATAATTGGTTTGTTATAAAAACCGAAGAACCAGGAGGAATTACACATATTCATAGGTTTTTCGTTAAAAAACAAAATCCACATATAACCACGGCATGCATATGTAACAAATTACCATGATGCAGGGTCCAGTGGATCTCGATTTGCTAGGATCATATCCTCCATCTCCAAATATGTCAAACCATCTGGTCTAGTTTTTGCATGCTTTATGAATATTTCCTCAAACTTTTGTGGAACAAACCTACAGCTTGACATGTTTAGCATATATACGGATTCGAATGATCGAAATGTGCACAAAAACTAGCATATATACGAGAATAAAATATCAAAGCATAAATGTACATAATATCCCCCAATGATCAAGGTAAATCAATTATATCCAAGTTACAAAGGAAGAGCATTATAAGTCCTCTGCATTGCTTTACTGCTGTTGGATATGTGACATCCCATAAGTTTGTTTTTATATGTATGGATAGAGCTGGTGCACCTCGGTGTTCCGCATAAAACTGGTTATAATATAAAATATCAAAATAGATTTTACCCCATGCAAATTTCCTTTTAAAAGACACTAATTAGTTGAGTTAAGCGGTATTTTTCTATATACCCGTGGATGCACACATCCATAAAATTACTGTAAAGCTTTCACTATATAGATGAGCACACAATCCAACCCACAAAAACATTATTCTAAATCCTAGAAATCTCGTAAAGTGGGGCGGTCTCTAAAGTTTAAAAGGTTAGCAGAAACAAAACCACAAGTTTAAGTGATTTGTAACTGTTATTTTCCTTGGTTCACTTGATATGTACATAAGTAGCACGAAGAGGCGGAGCTACGAAAATTTTCCATTGGGTTCACTTAAAATTTGGGTGTGAACTAACTATACTATCGTAGACTATTTCACAACAAAACCAAAGCAATAATAAGGACAGTCGTGAGTTAATGGGTTCAGCTTTGATTTTTAGTTGGGTTCAGACAGCCAAATACCTATATACTTCTTCCTTTCAAAATAGATGACCCAACGAAGGGAGTAGTAACAAGTGATTGCAAAAAATCGCAGCTCCGCCCCTAAATAGCACGTTGTAGTATTAATTACCTTCCTTTAACATCAAATGCACCGGTATCACTCCCATGCATTCCTCTGTGCATATTCTCTATGTATATTGATAAGTGAGGCAATGGTGCATCAACCTGGATTGAAAAAAGATATAACATATCAAGCTCGTAGTTCTTCCACAAACATGTCTATATGTTAAAAGAATAGTGTGTGTGTGTGTGCACGTGTGGGTGAGGGAGAGGAGAAGTACGGGGCTTGTTATAGGACCATTAGCAGCATGCACCAAGGTGGCAAATTCTCTCGCATATGTAACATTAAAACCAATTGCGACAGACCCTACATTCCAAAGTATAAGTTTAGCATGGATTAG